AGAATTCTACACTGGAAGCAGCAGCAAGCCAAGACGTGATCCTGGGCAAAACCAGCTGAAACGTTGCTTCTGTTTTCTCACAGTAATACAGGAACAAGCTGCACAAGGAACTAACCCTCCAGTAGGTTTAGGGACAGCACCTGCCTATAGGGAAAGTGAAACCATCTCTGTAAGAGGTGTTTATATAGAAAAAATGAGGAAGTCGATCTGCTGACAAGAGTGATGGCGACAGGCAGGAACAGGATAGATGGAAGAATCAAATAAGGGAGGGGTGAGAAAGTGGAAGGATAATGGGAGGGGAAGGACTTTTGTGCTCAGCTGCGGGGAAGAGGTTTGAGCAAAACCACAAGATCCACTCCCTTCAGAATACAAGCAGCACTCTGGAGGGGCAGAGAGGCAGGGAAATCCGACTGTGATCTGAAATTATGCCCTGCACAGAGATCACTCATGTGATTTCATCACAAAGAATGGCAAATTAGTTTTTACCAAACCTGAGCATGTAACCTTTCTATGCATGCCCTATGCCCTACCTAGGACCTCAGTGGATAAGGATTACTAAAAGTGGACTGAAAATGTTCAACTTTGCTTTTTTTACACGTTTCAGCAGCGAAAGTAAAATGAGTGCCTTAATCCTTGCACTAATTGTGCATGAGAAAAAAAATGATCCCACTTAAGGTTCTCGGGGAGTAAATAGCCTTAACAACACATGATGCTTAAAACATCAACTTTGCACCTTCACATCCATAATACCCACACACTCAAATAACATATTTTAACTGCCAAGAGGACCTTGGAATTTCCTAGAATTAAAAGAAAGTGCATGGAAATTTAGATCCCTAATTACAAGCTTGATGTTTATTTTACAAAACATATTTGCTCCCAGGATCGAAGGATTTAAATACCAGCAATAAAGATAAACTGCTTAAATCCTTAAAAATATTTTAATTAATTAAATTTAATTAATTTAAAAATATTTTAATAAAAACCCAGCCTGACAGGGCAACAGCACAGAAATTATTCACCAACGTCCTCTTTCAGAATGTTTTCTATTCCACAGCCAAGGCTTAAAACTTTAGAATTCCCCGGTGAGCTCTATCCAAGCCCAGGCCTAGAACTGCACAGCTTCTAAGGCCAAGCTACTGCTTACACATTCTTTGAATAGCATCCAAATGCTTGTCTCCCTGAATTGTTAGGCTGAACCACTCTCCCCTCCCCAATGATTAATGGTGTCGATTCCTAGTTATCCTACTGCAGTTTATTCCCAATGTATAACTTGCTAATGGCACAACCAATTTCTTTTGACATTGGTCTATATGTCTCATTGATATAAATATTCAGCTCAGATGTCCATTTCTGTCTTAAGGACATGCCTGTACTGCCTAGATTTATATGTGTATGCACCCAAACCACAGATCATGGAACGCTTAATATGTCTTTGACACCTGGAAGCTAGGAGCAGCCCACATTCAGATAACACACACTTGGCACTTAAAAAGACTTTAACATTATATGCTATCATTTTCAACTTTTAATTACTACATAGATGAGCAGCATGGTGGCCCACCTCCTGCTCAGAAGGTTGAAAGTTCGATCCTATGCAGAAGATAAAATATCTGCTGTGAACTCAGCATAGGTGTCAGGAAGGGCATCTGGACAGTAACACTCAGCACCACTCCTGACTCCACCCCAAAACAAAGAGTCAGAATAACAGAGTTGGAAGGGACTTTGGAGGCCTTTTAGCCCAACCCCCTGCTCAGGCAGGAAATTCTATACCACAGCAAATGGTTGTTCAATCTCTCCTTTAAAACTTCCAGTGTTGGAGTACCCACAACTTCTGAAGGCAAACCGGTCCACTGATTAATGGTTCTATCAGGAAATTAGGTTGCTTCTCTCCTTGATCAGTTTCCATCCATTGCTTCTTGTTCTGCCCTCACAAGAATGACTCCCTTTTTTGTGGCAACCCTTGAGATATTGGAACAGTTATTATGTCATTCCTAGTCCTTTTTCTCATTAAAAGAAAGTGACTACATAGATGGATTTTCTCTTAAGAAATCCATAATCTGTTATTTCATATCTCCCAATGGTACATTCATCACCTCTGTAACCGAGTGTACATCCACCTTTGTGCTGGCCGTCCTCTTTTTCCTTCTACCTTTCTCAATATTACAGCCTTTTCCAAAGAGCTGGGTCCACTTAACATGTCTGAAGTAGGATAATTTACACCTGGTGATTTGTGTCCCAGGGAGAACTCTGGGTTGTCTTGTTCAATGATCCATTTCTTTCAGGATACACTAAGAGCAGAAGAGAGCTATTCTGCTTACAACTCAACAGCAAAGGAGCAAGAAATCCTCTTGAATTTTGTACCTAAACTTACCTGGCATGCTTGTGTGAAATGTTTGCTTCACCTTTGAGAAGGAAACAACTTTACTTCAACTGACCTTTATAATCATCCTAGCCTTTATTTGTTCTGGAGGGAGTGAACCTTGTACAAAGACTTAAGAAATGAAAGGCAACACTGTCCAATCTGGTACAGACCAGAGTGAAAACTGCGATCTTTCAGGGAAACCTTATTGGTGGTTTTGCTTGTGTGAAAGGTGGAATTTACATCTCTGGGATACATTCCTGAGGCAGATCATTTTAGAGATTCAGAAAACAGCTGAAGTTCAATCTCAAATGAAGTGTCCCAGTCAAAATTCAATCTGTTTACATTGGCCTAACATTTCCCTGAACTTGAAGTGGTAAGAATGGCATTCTTAAGTGGCTCTTTATTGCTAACATACTAGGTTAAACAGAGAGGGGGATGAATGGGCTGCTTTCTAAAAGCTTCTAAGCCATGGGTGTCAAACTCAATTTCATTGAGAGATGCATCAGAGTTGTATTTGACCTTGAGGACGGGGTAGGTGTGGCCAGCTTGATGTCACTTGTGTGTGGGGGGCATCTGTGGGGGGCCCGAGTACTCTGCCAATGAAAATGGGCTCCTGAGCTCCATTTTCAGTTGTGATGGCCTCCTGCAACCCTCTGCCAGAAAAAAACGGAGGTCTTTTTGCTGGCAGAGACATTGTGGGCCACTCCTTCGCTGTTTCCAAGGCCTTGAGTTTGACACTCCTATTCTAAGTAATACTTTTTCGGCTACAGATAGTCCTTGACTTACAATTGTTCGTTTAGTGACTGTTCGGAGTTACAACAGCACTGAAAAAATGTGACTTATGACTGCTTTTCATAGTTATGACCTTTGCAATATCCCCATGATCACGTGATCCAAATTCAGATGCTCAGCAACTGGTTCATATTTATGACCGTTGCGATGTTCCAGGGTCATGTGATCTCCTTTCCCGCCCTTCTGATAAGCCAAGTCATCAGGGAAAGACAGATTCACTTAACAACTAGGCTATACTAGCCTATCCACTGCAGCAATTCAACTGAACAACTTTGGCAAGAAAAGTTGTAACATAGGGCAAAACTCCCTCAGCAAATGTCTCACTTAGCAACATAAATTTTGGGCTCCATTGTGGCTGTAGGCCGAGGACTACCTATATTTATAATGTTTATATAACTAGCCAACTGATCAGCATGGATTTGATTCAAATCAAGTCAAAACTTTAAACCAAGATTTAAATCACTAGTAAAAAGGCTTGTTTTAAATCAGGTCTCCAAACTTGGCAACTTTTAAGACTTGTGGACTTCAACTCCCAGAATTCTCCAGCCAGCTATGCTTGAAGTCTACAAGTCTTAAAGTTGCCAAGTTTAGGCACCCCTGATTTAAATCAACTCGATTTAAATCATAATTTATAAAGAGCAACTGTCATCTCTGCTCCTCTTCTGACCCGCTGTCCCCTATATTTCGGAATCTACAACCTCATGCTACATAACTAAGCTCCATTTTCATGCCGAATAAACTCAATGATTAATGTAACTTAAATGGAAAACTATCTTTGGGCAGGTTTTTACTCCAAAAAGCATTTTATTATCAAAATGAATTCGATAAAAATAAAAAAAGTCCGATTTAAACTTTTTTAATCCGATTTTTATTTTTAAATTTAAAAACCGTCGATGTTTTTATCCACCCTGCAGAGTGGATGTCAGAGGACCAAGAAAGAGCATCCGAGCCCCCCCCCCCTTCTCCTTTCCAAGCTGGTCCTTGGCAGGCAAAGCAGCCGAAAGGTAGAATGGAGAGGGTTTATTTATCGGGCGGGGGGGGGCTGGGGCACCTAAAGGGAACTGTGGGACTACAGAGCCCAGAAGCCCCAGCCAAGCGAGACTCGCAGCGCAACGGCGGGGAGGGCGGCGCTGCTCCTCCCTCAGGGTCCCCCGTGACAGGCCCGGGAGGTCTCCGCCCTTGGGCGGTGCAGCTCCCATCGTCCCCCCTCGCCGCAAGGGCTGCATTGACGGGGCTGATGGGAGCTGGAGTCACCCGCACCAGACGCCCCCGGCCTGACGCGGCCTGAGGAGGAGCTGGGCCGGGGGCGGCCTCCTCCTCCTCCCCCTCGGCCTCCTCCGGACTCAGCCCCGCGTTCCCCCCCCCTCACCTGTGGGAAGCGGGGGCGGCGGGGCCAGCCTGCGCGCGGCCGCCCACCGCATGGCGCCTCTTCGCCGCTTCCCCGCTGCAAAAAGCACACAGCCGCCCGTCTGATCCGCTCTCCTCTCAGCAGCCGCGCCGGAAGTGCCGCTTCCAGCATTTCCCCTTCCCGAGCCGACGGGATTCGTAGTCCTGGTAAGCGTAGCGTTTACATAGAACCGGGTCCCGTTAGCTTTTCGGGTTGCCTACAACTCCCATCAGGGCCCGCGGGGCAGGGGGACTCGCCCGCCCCTTCCGGGTCCCGAAGCCTCGCGTTATTAAACAGGTCTTCTCCCCACAGCCTTTAGGATTTCGAGCAGCGTTTCCCGCCCGTCCCGGCTCCGGAGTCGCGTCGCCTCATCCAATCGAATGCCACCCCGAGAGGTCGAAGTGGAAGTCCGAAAGCGGATGGCGAATGGGTGCGGCCGATTTAAGAAAGAAGCGAAAGGTAGCGAACGTTCATTGGCTGCGAAGAGGAGAGAAAGGGAGCAACGGGATTGGCTGGTTTCACGCAGAAATGCCAGCCAATCGGAAAGCGGCAAAGCACTATAAAAGGCGCACGCGTCGGCGTTTCGCTCTTTCGTGCCTTTGCTCCGTCGGAATGAGGTGACTCGTGGGCGGTTGGTCCTTTGGCTCGCTTCCTGGTCGGAGCGACATGCGGCCGCGGTGCCTGCATTTACTCCAAGGCTCTAGAACCCAGCGGGGCCTTTCGGTGAGTTTGGCCACCCGCAGCAACATTTATAGTCCCCTGTTGTGAGGACGGGCCCCTTTGCGTGTCTGCCCAGCCCAATGTTGGCCTTCCTTTCCTGCTTCTGGAGGAGCTGTTAATGGCTGCCTCCCTCAGGGCGGCGAACGAGCAGTTGATAACAAGCCTCCCTCCTATTTCTCTCCTACCCCTCCCGCAACGACGACCCTGCGAGGTGGGTTGGGGTGAGAAGGTGGCGACTGGCCCGAAGTCCCCCATCTTCGGGGCCTAAGGCGGGACTAGAACTCCCAACCGCCTGGTTTTTTTGGGCCAGCACCTGGAGGAGCCTGGCCTCTGCCTCTCCCCCCCCCCCCTTTTTTTTTTGCTGTGCTAAAATAGCTTCCCAATTTTGGGGCATTGTAAAAGTTTGTAGTGTTTCTTGCAGACAAATTATTCCTGTGTCCCAATTTTTGTAATTGTGTAAAAAAAATTTAGAAGGGGGATTTAATCCATTCATATATATTGAAAGGGTCCTGTTTCTTTTCTCCATCTTGCTTAATTATATTTAGGGTTCTGTTTCCTAGTGAATTCTTCGTTCTCTTAGTCCCTCTTCTTCTTGGTTAATGTTTTCTTTCTCTTTGTCTTTTTCACATTAAGATTTCAAAATATACCTGAAGATGAGAGGAGGAAGATTTAATGGAATTGATGGACAAACCTGCTGGTGGACACTTTGCCAATTGAGAGCGTGGGTAATGGGGAGAAGTGATGGACCAAATTTATAGATGAAACTCAAGCTATGTAAGAAGACAAGTGTGCCTAGGGAGGTCCATGTGACATTTGTGAGGAGAACAATAAGGGATGAAATATTGAAGAGAGTGAGGGAAGAACCATTACAATACAGAAAAAAGGAAATCAGGGTGTTGGCTTCCCTTGGAAGATAAGAGGTCTAAGACGACTTATCAGTTTTTGACAACAAAGCTGAATGAAAAGGAATACATTTTAAATGGCCGATACCTGAAGGAATCCTAATTAACTGGAAGTCTAGAAGATATAGAGTGGATTCTCTTTTTATGAGAGACATGCAAGCATTTTTGCACATGGTGCACAAGATAAGGAACCCAAAAGAAAACTGAGTTCATATGCTAATATGGTGGCATTGTAGTCAGACAGCGCTGAAAGGCGTGGAGGATGTGGTTGAGTTCGCCCCTCCTGAATGACCTGATTGGTCTGAGCTCCCAGCCCCTCAGTGAAAGACTCCCAGGTAAGTTGACAGGTAAACCCTGAGACCATTCCAGTGGAACCCAGTGGTGCCCTCCCAGGGGAGGATTTTGGCTTTACTGGATGCTGGAAAAGCTTTGACTGAGACTAAGGGTGCTAGTAGCTTTCTGCCAGCTGGATGGGAACAGTAGCTGGGGGGCGACCTTGGCTCATTTTAATACTGAGGCAGTGGAGATGAGGATGGGAAGGCACAGAGACTTTGGGTTTCCTAGTAGTGCTGGGGATGGAGAGGTCCCTCCTGCTTGGACTTTCTTGGTCCCAGAAATGGAACCCTTATGTAAATTGGAGGAGAGGAGGGGCTTTTAAAGATTCTGCTTTCCTTTTTCTGTACAAATAAGATTTTTTTTTTCAGGTATGTTTCCAGCTGGGTAACGTCAGATCAAAATGGGACAAGGGAAAAGGGTGAGTCTTACAAATTGTAGGATCACGCATTTTTCTAACCTAAATACCAGCCGGTGATGAACTTTTAATTTTCTGACACCTCGTATGAAAACTGCTTGCAGTTGGTGATTTTACACATGTTCTGAGGCTTGGCATTCATATCATAGGGCATTGGGTCTGAATTGAGATAGGGATTTTTTTTTTTGTTTTAAATTTTAGAACAGTTCTAAAACGGGCCTCCCAGTTGGGCAGGTCTTCAGCTTATATAATGTCTAAATTGTCCGACTCCCCTGGAATACTTAGAGTTTTGTCATTGTTGGTTTAAAAAATCAATGGCATTGTTCTTTTTCTTTTTAGAAGCAGATGGAAATAGAAGAGGACAGGAATTGCAGCATAGGTAATAAAATAAAGTCAATTTTAAGACAGATTAAAAATAGCATTGTTTTCAATCGAATACTAAGATGTTGGGGAAAAGGCATTCTTTTTTCTAAGGAAGGGCTGGATTTGCTATTTCGTGAGCCAGTGTTGAATACCAGCACAGTGTTAAACATCAGTGTTGGGCAGGGAGATTATGAAGAGCCAAATAGTGGTTAAAATTAATCCACTGTATCATTTTTGCAGGTGGACTTATATCCTTCAACTGAACTACCTTTCTCAACAAATGGAGGCAAAGATCGTTTCTATTTAAAGGTTTAAGTGACACCAGGAGTAAAATGTTGACTGAAGTAGTGGAAGTTGGCAAAAGCTGCTTTGTGTTGACAATGGTGACAAAGGAGAAGTGCAAATCAGCTAATACATTTCTCAAATGGAGCCAAGGATTGTTTCTGTTTAGAGGTTTAAGTGGTGGCAGGTCTGACACCAGGAGTAGGCAGGCCTGGGCCTCTAAAGGCCTCCCCACCCAGGAGGCACCCCACATTCTGCTTAATGATCCACATGTTCATTTAACATTTCATTGGGGAGGACAGAGATGGAGGGGCTGTTGAATGACAGTGTACACCTCCTGTGACAGGCAACCCCAACATGCAAAGCTCTCTTGTTGTGTCTCAACTATCTACCTGCATCAATTGCAGTGTGTATTTTTGCACAGGCAGATCCCTGCAATTTCCACTGAACTGCTCAAGTGCTGCAGGCAGGACAGAGAGGGGTGAGAGTTGCTTCTTTGTAAAGCAGTTACTAAAATTTAAGAACGCCTCCTGGGGACAACTGAGTTCCTGGGACTAAGATACTAAACAGATTGAAATATGGGATTCCAGCATTGGAAATATGTGGGGCTTAGTCTGGCAGTGATGATTTTTAATAGTTGTAATGCATCAAAACCTTGCAAAGTTTCGGTGAATGCTGAATAATTTTGGCCAGCTTAAAAAGACTATTTTTGAAGGCTTTTAATTTTCAGTCATTTCATTTTTGCTGCCTTTTGTATGAACCATTCCAATATATCTAATCCCTTGCCACTAATGAAAATGTTTAAATTAAAATGAAAAACCAATTGAATTTTGGAAGTTCTTTAGTGCCAATTGTTACCATTTTCTTGTGAAATATCTATTGTACATCATTTATAAGCCCAATCTGTTGTGGCAGATAAACTGTTAACTTGATTTTTTTAAGAATAAACAAAGCTTAACAGTTTGGAATGTTTGAATTTTCTAATAACCCTACAGTCTAGACACAATGGATTTTCAGAGTTGGCTCAGGGTCAAACACCATATTCATTTGTCTTAGTAAACCCAAAACTACTAAGTCACTATTCTTGAAGTGTGCAAGTGCTTTGAAGGCCAAAGACAAAAACCGTTTCCCCCCTGCCCTTGCTGGGTTGGGTCTGCTAATGCTGCCAATGTAGAGGTGCTTTAAACTCCAATTTGCCAAATTTTAATTGAATAATGATGAAATTAGGACTGGAGAGTAACTGCATCATCTCTAGGGTGTACCTTAAGTTCTTTAGTTAAACTGCAATGCATTCTATGTAGAGTGTGGAAATTCCCAGCTATCCTGGTCCTGGTTGCCCCAAAGGTGATTTTTTTTAAAGGCAAATGGACTTTTGTTTTCCCTGAATGGTACAAACAGGTGTTCTTGGAATTGCTTGCAAGAGGTTTCAGCAAGTCCAGTTGCCTTTTGAAAGAAACACTTGGGATTCTAAGCAGAGCCATTACTCCTAAGTGATGCTCTAGACCAGAGGGTGTCAAACTCAGGCCAGATTTGGCCCAAGGGCTGCCCTGGAAGCCAAAGGACCGGCCCACGGTGCCTCTGCCAGGGAAAATGGGCCCACCGAAGTCCATTTTTGCTGGCAGAGGGTTGCAGGCCATCTGCTGAAAACTGATCTCGGGAGCCTGTTCCTGACAAGTGACATTGAGCTGACCTCTCCCCCCCCCCCCAATCAAACACAACCCTGATGCGGCCCTACGTGATATTGAGTTTGATACCCTTTCTTTAGCCAGTTAGAACAAGATTTTCCATCTTTATATTGGCTAGCGCAGTGTTTTCTTGTCCCAACAGCACGCTATGGTCCTCCCCCTTCCCTTTTCAGCCTGATGTCCCTCCCTTGGACAGCTCTTTCAGCCAAACTAAGTGTAAAATTATTAACCTTTATGCTAAATTCCTAGTAGAATTGGGACCTGAAATCACGCAGAATGAAAAACTCGTTGCTTTCACTTGAAACGATGGAGGAGTCCCGGCAAAGAAAGAAACACGGAGCTTTCTAGGAAGGAGGCCTGCTTTTGGACCTTCAGAAGCAAGCATCGTTTAAAAAAAATCATTTATTATGAGAAACCCCAAAAAGCTATAAACAAGAGCCAACAGTTAACCTTGGTACATAAATAAACACTTTTGAGAGATGCTCAGGAACTCTGAACTCTTAGCTACATGGCAACAAAGCCAGGTAGGGAACAGGCTGGGTCCTGCCAAGGCAGCCCATGCGCTGGCCAGATGGGGTTTGCCAAAGCCAAGCTACAAATGCAGGGCCTTCGAAGTTAAGGCAAGACTGGCCCAACTCCTGCAGTTCTGCATTGCACACAGTTTCCTCCCACCTTGTGGATGGACAAGCCACTAAGAACTGCAGAGATGTGACATGCAAAGCTGCCTTTGATAGGTTTTCTCCTTGGAGAAGGTGGTGAAAATAATCCAATTTAGGGCTTGTGTAAAGGACTCTTAACTTAAAACGCATCTGCTTGGGCACAAGGAAAACAACATTTAACAAGGAAAGCCCAATGGCAACTTAGCACACGTATCACAAAGCACCCTAATCCACATGGCCCAATACCCTGAAATAAAACAGGCTGACCAGATAATGCGTGTCCTCTTCTGCTAAGGTTGGGCTGCTGAGTTGCTGGATTGTACAATCGAGCTGGAAGCTTCCCCGAAACAGCTCTACACTGGTAGGTGTTTTCCCAGGCGTTGGACTTCCACCGTGGCTGCACTAGTGGGCTTGCAGGGGTTGACACCCCTATGCATCAGGAGGGCCACTGGTTGGAGAAGGCGGGTGCAAACATGGAGCCCCTTGCTAGCAAGTCGTAGGGCCCAGTAAAAAAAGCTGAAGCAAAGATGATCGCATGGAAGAGCAGAGCCTGTTCCACAGCTGGACAGGATCCCCTCAGGGTGGGGAGAGAAAGGGGCCATCACAACCCCAGGGAGTTCTACACACTTCCTGCCTTCCGCTGGAAGACTTGGCAATAGCACTTCGTCTTATATACCGCTTCATAGTGCTTTGGAGCACTTTAAGTGGTTTATACAGAGTCAGCCTCTTGCCCCCGCCCCCCCAACAATTTTACCGACCATGGAAGGCTGAGCCAACCTTGAGCCGGTCAGGATTGAACTGGCGGTGGGAGGAGTCAGCCTGCAATGCTGCATTCTAACCACTGAATCACCACGGTGAGAGAGGAGATAGATAGCAATAGCACTTAGACTTATATATCACTCCATAGTGCTTTATAGTGCTCTCTATGCGGTTCACAGAGTCGGCCTCTTGACCCCACAACAAGTTGGGTCTTCATTTTACCGACTTTGGAAGGATGGAAGGCTGAGTCAACCTTGAGCCAATCAGGATCGAGCTCCTGGCGGTGGGCAGAGTCAGCCTGCAATGCTGCCTTCTAACCACTGCGCCACCACAGCTCCTACCTGCTACATCTCTGTCCCATCAACCCGACCCAAGAATTAAGCCTGCTGGATTTCTTTGCCAGCCCTGATGTGGAGAGACATTTCCCCCACTTGCCATCGGGGCTCTGGGTCCCTCTCCCCTTCTTTGGGCGGGTGCAAATATCCACGCCGAGAGCCCTCTTGATGAAAAGAGCCAATTTTCCCCCCCAATGGGGATAGAATTCCTGGAAGGAAATCAACCACCCTTGGGATCAACCCCTGGAGATGCATGAAGGAAATGAAGGACCCAACTTACCCCCATCCAGTGGTAGTATTCAAAAACTTTTACTACCGGTTCTGTGGGCCTGGCTTGGTGGGCGTGGCTATTTTGCAGCCCCCCCCCCCCATTTTTGGGAGCTTCCTAGCCAGAGGAGCCTGGGGGGAGGGGTGTTTTTGCTCCCCCAAGGCTCCTCTGGGGCTCAGGAAGAAAAGGAACAGAGCATGGGAGGGGCATGCAGCACTCCTAGCCTCAGAGATGTCAGGCAGGCAGGCGGGTCCGATCCGTTGCGAACCAGCTGAATACCACCACTGTCCCCATCCTATAAGATTGCTCCCTCTGTGTTACACTTCTACCAAAAAAAAAGGGGGGGGGGAAGGCACACCCTACTACGCAGGGAAATTGCCAGAGCTGCAGCACAACAACCAAAGCTAGAGCAGAGGGAACATTTTATTCTGCCCTGCGGAGAGGGTGGTCAGCAAATGACAGCCAAGAAGAGTCAGCTGGTTTCGGGTGTTTTTTTGGGGAAAAAATGTGTTCGAAGAACTATCAGCAATAGCGCACACCAAACATTTAAGTTCGATCTATTTAAAAAAATAAAGAACAGTGGAAACCCCCATGTTTGGGTACTCGTTGAGGCAGTAATGATGAAAGTGGAGCTGAAGTCCCACATAAACAGTCGCTATATGAAGCCAACCCATGGCAACTGGACTCTCCCTGGCAAGGACTTTGGGGAGGGGGGCTCCCCTGTGGCCCCGCTCCCTTTGGGGGTCACTCATGCGGGATATCAACACTGAAACTGCACAAACCTCTCCCTCTCTCTCCCCCACCCCCAAAGGCCCTGTCCACATTCAGATTGTCCATTGCTGCTTCTAACCCGGATCTCTTTTGGGGGGGAAAAAAACCCACTTGCCTGCCCCAGGAAGGAAAAGAAGCTGCCCCCATTTATCCTTCCAAAGTTTCACCTGGACAAAGACAACAAGACACAAGGAAGAGATTTGTAGCGCTTGTGCAGCAGGAAGGAGGAGAACAAGAGTGGCAGATACGGATGCAGCAGGCAGGGTGCTTGTGGCAAGTCTCCTTCAACGGGGGGAGGTCTGGACAGGACCCCCCAGGAGAGAGAGTCTATGAGCGGCAACAGCCAGCGCCTTTCACCTCCTTCCGGACGTAGTCGTGCAGCCTGAACCGGGGCTCGTTGGGCAGCTTCATGGACCGGTGTTTCAACTCCCTGGCAATTGAACACAAGGTTTGGTCAGTTCTCCCATGCACAGCCAGGCAGTTCCTCCTCTAATCTGACCCTAACCCTCCTCCCAAAGGGGAGCGACAGAAACCGACAGTGAAGTGGGTATGTGGGGTCTCTAACAATGCTTCAAGCTGTACACGTAGCGCTTATAAGTAGTACCGTTATCAACTGAGCTTCCTATAATCTTCTCCGCTGTCTTCACCATTCTCTGTAGGGACTTTCTATCTGAGGCACTGCTGCCACCAAACCAAACAGGGATGCAGTTTAAAGTCGCTTAGTTTGAGTAGCACCAGTCCAGACTATGTGCTTCTTCGAAGCCCTTGGTAATGCCCACGATGTGTGGCCCCAACGCCATTTTTGAGGCCATCGACCTGTCCTGCCATGAGGTATCCCTTCCATGGCCACACAAGGAAGTCAAGGGGTCAATGTCTAGCCCACAATGGCAGAGGATTTGGTCCACTTACTCATGATCAGCAAGTCTACAACATCCCTCCCATTCTGTCCAACTGGCCTCCAACTCTGAGCAGAGGGAGAATTCCCTGAGAATTTCACAACTCAGCTCGGGCGTCAGAAAGGGTTGCTGGATGTCATGCCACGGATGCAATAACAGTGGCAAATTTCCTCTATTTATTATTTTTATAAATAACTGAAGCCAGTGAACATATCTCGTATCCCTTCCTCTGACATTCTCCACAACCACAATCCTGCGAGGTGAGTTGGGCTGAGGAGAGACACTGGCCCAAAGCCACCCAGCCAAGCTTTCATGCCTAAAGCAGGACTAGAACCCCTGGTCTCCTGGTTTCTAGTTCTGGTGCCTTAGCCTCTAGGCCAAACTCACCCCATAGGCTGCAGTTACCCTCACCTAGTCAGATTTGATGTCTTTTGCCTGCATTGCTCCAGGTCTCTCTTCATCTCCCAGAATTTTTCATAGAACCCCCCCCCCCCCCCGCCTCCCTGAAATGGCAGTGCCATGCTTGGCTGCGGCTGCTTCACTGAACAGTGTTTCTGAAATAGCTTTATACCATCTAGCATCAACCTTGTTAATTCTCAAGATTTTTCTGCTGTCTATTCAAAATAGACTATGATATATACTGCATGTATATATGTATGTGTATGTCTATATTTGTGTGTCTACATTTATCTCTATTTACCAGTTATCTATCTATCTATCTATCTATCTATCTATCTATCTATCTATCCCTTCTATCTGTATTTATCTATCATCTATCATCTATTTCTATCCATCTATATCTATCATCTA